AACTTTCTCTCAAGCAAAAACTTGTGATGTCAGAAAATATTATTTTGATATGCAGGAAATCAATGAGAGCGGATCTGGACAGTGAGATGTTAATCCCTTCTGAAACAGCACCTCATCCTGACAGCAGCTGCTTGGGATCTGCTCTGAAAGCTTCCTGCCTGAGGACTCTCAGGAGAGGAGCAGTCAAGTGCCTCCTTCCGACTGATGYGGTCCTGAACGCTTTCCCCGCAGACACCAAAGATCAATCCCAAGAACGYTCCTGCTCATGGATCTATCGGCTCAGTACACACTGAAAAAGACCAAGCTCCACAGGTACAGCAGCCTCAGGGAGACACTACTTGGGCTATTTTTAACTTCTTGTTGAAGGCACTTAAGTGGGCATAATATGGCACAGGTTTAAGAGTATTTGAGGCTTTGGCACACRSTGCCCAGAGAAGCTGTGGATGCCCAMCCCTGGAAGTGTTCCAGGCCAGGCTGAATGGGGCTTTGAGCAGCCTGGTTTMATGGAAGGTGCCCATACCCATGGTACGAGGTGGAAYRGGATGAGCTTTAAGGTCCCTTCCAAACSAAACCTTTTTGGGATTCTATGATTTGCCACAGTGTTTAAGCACAGATTTGCTTCTAAGCAAATGTGTCAGTGCTGCCACAATGAATAGTCAAGTTGCTGAACCGGGCATGAAAACAGATGTGTAATGCTGGCAGCTTAGCAGGGACACTCAAGAGTCACATGAAAAAACAGCTCAGCGGGGCCATTGCTTTCTGTTCTGGCTCTGCTAGAAGTGGGATTACTGTGTTTCAAACCTCAGAGCGAGGTGTCAGCAGTCACCCTGGTATTTTCTGAAAAGCAGCAGCAAAACTCAGTTTAAAGAACCAGACAAAGACCTTCAGGCACCAGCTTAAGAAGGCAAGGATATAAAATGACATATGAAAGACACCAACAGCAGGGAACAAATGGGAAAAGGAAAATAATTAAAGGGTACACCAGCGGTGACATCCTAGGAGACGTGCAAGAAATGTTTATGTCTGGYACCAGAGGGGATAAACTACCCCTGCCTGACAAACCCTTTGCAAAGTTRCTGCCATTCAAGCTTAGGCATGTTATCTATGGATCAGAAAGCAATAAAACCTGTTGGGTTAATGTAAAGAGTACTCCAAAAGGCCAAGAGGTGATTGCTGCAGCTAATTTTCCCCCGGGGAGTGTATATTTCTGTGCAGAGGGAGCACGGACTGACTTGTAGCAGTAGCTGGCGCTGTGCTTGTAATAGCGGCACAGGTTCCCGTCGTCGGGGGGCGTCGCGCAGAAAAAGATGGTCGGGGACAGGTTGTAGCGGCCAGTTTTGCAAAACTCATCCATTTCCCTTGGGACACCCGGCTCGATGGCCACACGGTCACCTGCCAGGGGGAAAGCAGAGTGCGTCAGGGACAGGGTGGCACAAACATAGGAGCAGCACCAGAAAGCACAGAAACCCTGAAATTGTAGAGAAAGGAGGGACACAAGGAAGATCTTGGTGCACATGGAAGATCAGCCACACACACACCTCCCTACAGCTGCCTTGTCCCCAACCTCAGCAGATGAAAGGGCAGACCCCATGCAATCACACTGTCACCAGATATTTTGCTGAATCTGTAGTGATCAGAAGAGGMAATACTGAGGATGGAGCAGGTGAGCTCAGCTGGCCACCACAATGCCAGCTGGAAAGGGACATTCCTAGAATCATAGAATCATGGAGGGATTTGTATTGGAAGAGACCTTAAAACTCAGCTTGTTCCACCTCCTGCCATGTTCACAGACAACTTCCACTAGACCAGGTTGCCCCAAGCCCTGTCTCACCTGGCCTTGAACACTTCCAGGGATGGGGCAGCCACAGCTTCTCTGAGAAACCTGTGCCAGGACCTCACCATCCTCACAGGGGAGGAAGCTTATGGCGCAGAAAACCCAGGAGCCTGGCAGGACTTATGTGGGAACAGAGGCAGCTTGGTGCTACAAGAGAGTAGCCCAGAGTGCTGGAAGGACACATGCTGCAGGACAAAGAAAAATTATTTAATTGCAGGCACAAAGCAGGATGGACTAGAGAAAAGAGTGTGAGCACAGTACAACTTGAAAGTACTCAAGGGACACAAAGCAGCACATTTCTTAGGTAGAGGAAGCCAATCAGAGCCAAACCTCTGAGCGAAGCTCTCCTCCAATAGGTTTCAGGCAGACACRGGAATGAGTAAAAAGATGGAAGTAAAGAGCCATCTAGGCCACTGAATCCCCTCTGAGCTGGCCAACAACAGGTGTGTCACAGGACAGAGGCAGGACAGACACTGAATGCTCTCCCAGCCTCCCATCACACTCTCCTGTGAAGCCTTCCAAGTTGCAAGTGGTTAGTAATGCTCAACTTCTCCTCCTTCCACCACGTAAACTGCATGCTCTGCTACATCTCAGATGAATGCTGCACCTCACTGTGACGTGCTGGAGCAACCAAAGAACAGGCAACCTGTTCTCCCAGCCCTCCACAAGTTGTGTCTCCAGCTCCCAGCTCAAGTTCCTGATTTAGGCATTCATCAGATGCTGCCCCACATCTCATTATCTCCTTCTCCTGCTCTGAACCTTTCTCACTTGTTTTATATCCTTTCAAAAAGGAGGAGAATAGAACTGCATGCAGAGCTCCAGATGTGCACTGATGTCCTCTGAGTCTCTGTCCCCTTCCTAAAAGTGATTTGCATTTTCATGACTGCTGAGCCGATGCTCCCATGCACAGTGTCAGAACCAAAGGTCTCACACTTCAGTAGTGATGGTCAGCACAGCATTTTAGATAAGAAGGGGTTTGTTTCTCCTGTCATGAATATCGCTTTGTGTTTGCCTGCATGGAATCATACCTGCATCTTACTGGCATGCCTCAGGTCTCTCTAACACTAGCTGGCTCTCCCCTACATCCTCTACACCTTGCCAAAGTTGGTCTCATCCGCAAACTTGGCAAAATTCCCTGCTCAGTCCATTTTCTAGGACATTCATGTGCACAGTGAGCTGTGGAGGTCCCACCACAGGGTCTGGAGCAGTTGCTGCAGTGACCTCTGCACTGCAGGAGGCCATTTGCTCCTTCAAGAACACAGACAGAGAAGAAACACTCACAGCAGGTCGCTGGCAARAGCTACAGATGCAGTTTCTGAAGCTTTATCAAGCTTCCTTAAAAAGCACCTTGCACCAGCATACTCTGCCCTGCATAAAAATACAGCCAGACCACCTCAAGATAGCCCAGGATAAAGCTACCTAAGGAATATCATCTACTAGGCCAAGCTGGGTGACTAAAAGCCGTGCAGTGACACTTTGTGAAGGAGAAGGTCACGCTGTGAGTTCAGAACCTCAGCTAAATTGCAGCCTGTTATCGGCACATTCTCGGGAACTGATTAGGAGGAAAACAAACAGATAGTTTTGRTTCCAGATACCTGGTTTCAGATGAGTCACCCCTGAGCCCACTTTGACGACAGTCCCGGAAGCTTCATGTCCCAAAACCATGGGAGCCTTGACAACAAAATCCCCAATTCGACCGTGCTGCCAGTAGTGAACATCAGAACCACAGATCCCAACGGAATGCATGCGCAGGAGGACCTCTGCCAGAAAAGGAGGAAAGGTTCCTTGTAGAAAAACTGAACTTCTCAGGCACTGGGAGAGCAGCACGTGGGCTGTCCCTGAGCCCCAGAGCAAAGCCAGTATCGACACATCCAAATCTACTGGCATTCAATCAACACAGTAGAACTGCACGTGCATGCATTAGAAGAGTGGCACATTCATGAACCACTTGCTGAAATAAAAAYTATGCAATGATTCACAAAGCAAGAAGGCTTAAAATAGGGTAAGACAAAAGCTAATGTCGATAAAAAATATGCTCAACAAAATAATACCGTTCAAGAGGGATGTTATTATTGCTGGAGCAGGAATAACAGAGCAAGTTCATTTAATTTTCCGTTCTCCCTAAGCTATGATTTCAGCCCTGGAGAGTTAGTGAATCGAATTTGTATCAGCCCATATGCCCATCCTATTAATGTTTAGTCCTGCATAAGATCATCAAGTCCCAAGAGCCATTTACTGTGACATACACAAACTGATGGAAAAGGAAGCAAAAAAGCCAGATAAAGGAGTTTATCTGTGACTGCTCCAGCTCTTCTTTTCAGCTGGAAAAACAGCAGCATCTCTTTCAGACATGCAATCTTTTGTTGCTTAATTTTGTACTTCCTCAAAAACATTTTATAATATCAAGGARCAACAAAAGAGAATGAGAAAACAAAGACAGAAGTAAAGAAAGAAGTCATCTGTGGACYTACCATTGGGACCTGGTTCTGGGATTGGACGGTTTTCCTATGGACAAAAGGAAAAAAAAACATTTAGCTGCTTGTTGATATCYCTGGGAATATCTGTGGAAACTTAGCCGAGGTTAGCTCAGATAAATCCAAAAGCAGACGAGGGTTTTGGTTCTGTCTGCTCCATGAGACATGGCTGTGCCAAGGGGAGCCTGCTCCTAAGCTCCCCTCATTTTCCATGCTCGGTGGAGTAACATGGGCAGCTGTAGAAGTGAGCACAGTGCCACCTTGTAAATCCACTCTCCAAATTATTTTGCAGTAAATTCCCTTTCCCTGCCCAGACATGAGAAACATACTAAATTTCCTTACACTGGAGCAACCCCAAGTTTCAGCTGAATCCTTCACTGCACTGGCTGGCAAAAAAAATCACCATCTGTAACCGGGAAGATTCTAAACCACCTGTTCTATAAAGCCTTAGTATTGCAGTGTTTATATTAATATTTTAAATAATACAAATTTTTTTTTACTACATAATCATGTAATAACAGAATCRCAGAACGATTTGGGTTGGAAGGGACCTTAAAACTCATCTCATTCTACACCCTGCCATGGACAGGGATACCTTCCACTGGACTGGGTTGCTCAAAGCCCCATCCTTGAACACTTCCAGGGATGGGGCAGCCACRGCTTCTCTGGGCACCGTGTGCCAGGGTCTCACCAACCTGTGCCAATAATACAGAATTTATACATTATATTTATACATAAAAATGTATACATAATATATACAGAATGATTTMTACCTAATAATGTATACATTCACATTCTCTTGTAATTGCAATGACATCTCTTTTTGGGATGAATGATGAAACCCGAGTTAGAAAACTGGTCCATATTATCCTTCCACCCAAAAGGTCTGCAGGGCTTTTGTCTTCACCAAGCTCCCTAAACTGCCTCAAAAGCCAAAGGAATAATTTTGTTGGGTTTTACAACATGAGCACAATACAATACTCGCCTTGAGGATCATGTCCCCAAGCAATGCTCCCCAGAGTAGTGGCAACAATAAACCCTTAAAAATTAATTYGCTACTCAGATTTTGAGGAGCACTGTTCTGCATGTTAACTATTTAAATCTCAGTATATTCCTCAATTCCTTCTTCAGCATTCTAAACATCATGAAAAGACAAACTCTGGAAACATATTCTCATACAAATCAACCAACTGAAATTCTCTGTGTTCAGACCTGTATCTGCAATTTTTCTATGTGGGGTGTTTGTTTTGTTTGACTGAGGACACAGCCCAGARCATTATTTCTAAAAAGAGAAATCTAAATGTAACCTCTTTTACAGAAAATGCAATAAGCACAGGATCTGGCAACACACCAAAGGTAAAGAACACCTCAGACTGAACAGAACAGTCCACGGTGAGAGATAAAGTCAACTTCTAGCTGAAAATGTGTGTGAGAGATAAAAAACCCCAAGATATTTTTTTTCTGGCAATAAAAACTGTGCCCAAAAAATCCAGACATCTTGGTGGAAAGCGAATCCTCCAGCCTAATTTGGAGAAAATAAGAGTGACTGAAGTGGAGAACACCAAAGACACAAGTTCTGCTGGTTCTCTGTTGTTCACTTGTTGTTCAAGTTCAGAAATGGTCTGTGGTAAAATAAATGCAGCAAATATTTCCTGTGAAAGGAGACATGGATGGAAAGAGAAGCCATGGTGCAAGTATGAAACCAATAAATCTTCAATGGATTTATTGGCAAAGAGGAGCCTGTGCAGCCACATAAGGACACAAGGAGAGTCAACAAAAACAAAGCAAACACATTTTCACACATCACAGAGGTCACCGTGACTCTGCCCATGGGAAACACATCCAGGAATTAAAAAAGGTGTGGGAATTACGGGAAGATGGTGTCACCCAGCTTTGGATATCAGTAACAGATAACAGGTTCAGAGTTCACTGCTGAGACTGCTCCTGTGATCCAATACAGTGAGAACCATCCACTTCATGGAAAGAAACTTCAGGGAAGCCCAGGAAGATCACATGAGCTGCTGATACTGACGCACTAYGGCACTGGTGACCAGCTCTAAGGTCTTCAGCAATACAAACATCCAAGGAAAACTCACATGTCTGGGTGTAAGCCAGTCTAGAGACCAGCAACACAGATGTGATGGAGCCAGTGTCCCACTTCACAAGTCTCAGACACCCTTCTAAATCACAGAGGTTTGGAAATGTGTTCTTGAACTAAAGTGACCTCAATTCTCAATCCTTTTGATTTCTTTTGGTAGTCAGGATGCGTGTGATTGTAGTGAAAGTGCAGTTGTATCAAAGGTTTCTGGGAGCCACCAGGAGCCACCCACAGGGTGCTGCTCTGGCTTTGGCACGTGTCACTTGAGCTGGGTGGGAATGGTAAAAAATCAACCACGTCCCTGGTAATTATCCCCCAAACAAGGCGTGTGTCCAAAGTCTGTGTGCTCCCAAGAGCCCTCCTGCCAGGACTCTGTGTACAGAAAGCTGCCTGCCAGTGTTTGTGAAAATCTTCCTTCCCCCATTTGGCACCCCAAACTGGCAAACACAGGTCTCCAGCAGTGTCGTGATGATTCAGCAGCCAGGAAGAGACAGCAGTCAGAGAAGCAGGATGAGCCTAAAGTACTAAAAAATTAAAAATAAAAGCACTCCCCTGCCTGGGAGAGTCCCCCAGCACCTGCTCCCCCTAAACCCCTCCATCCTGCTGCTCACTTGGGCTCTGACAGCCCAAATAAGTAACAACCACCCTCCACTCTGGTCCCTGAGAGCACCTGCCTCAGCTGTGAGAATGGCTAGCTGTGGAAAGAAAACTGAGGTTTTGGGGATTCTGTGTTTCAGGGATGGGAGGTTTCCCACCCAGAGCAGGCAAAGATCTCAAAATCATGCCCTCCTGCGTCCTCTAAGAGCATTCTGCAACTGAAGCCTTTCCAAGATTGGAATAACAGAAAATGCACACGATAGGATACGCAAAGTTGTCAGAACCAGATAAAAATAGACCGTTCTTCTAATAACTGTTGCATTCTCCTGCTCGCATGAATGAGTGTATCCATGTATTTATTTCCCTTGCAAAAATGTTGCACCTCGCAGGCACACTAGGGATAGTACATTTTTATTTCTCCTCTCCGGGTCGCTCCCTGTAACGCTGTCAAGAGCCCGAAGCGCCACGGGCTCCCCGGGCAGAGGGGCCGGGAGGGCCCAGCCACGGGATCCCCTCCAATTTGGGCCCCGCGCCCCTGGGTCCCCCCGGCTGTCCCCTCCTAGCCGGGACCAGGCCACGCTCACCCGGAACGGGAGGAACCGGGAGGAACCCGGAGTGCCGGACACCCCCAGAGCCGCGGAGGGAGCCCCGGGGCCCGCGGAGCCGCCCCCGCCCGCCGCCTTCCGAGCGCGGCCCCGCCGCCACCGCCCCCGCCCGGCCCCGGCTCCTCCCGGCCGTACCAGGCGCAGGTCCCCGGCGCGGTGAACCACCACGGCCACGTTCTGCCCCGGCACCGCCATGGCTCGGCTCGGCTCGGCTCGGCGCGGCCCCGAGTCCAAGGGCCGCCGCCGGGGGGGCCGGCCTTTGCCCCTGCCCCGGCTCCCGCCCGCCCGCCGGGCCCGGCACCGCCCCCCGGCACCGAGCGGGCTCGGCCGGCCTGCCCCGGCCACGGCTGCGGCTGCGGCTGCTGCTCCGGTTCCAGCTCCAGCTCCAGCTCCAACCTGAGCCCCAACCCCGGCTCCAGGCCCAGCTCCAGCTTCGACCCCGGCTCCAGGCCCAGCCCGGCTCCAGGCCTCAGCTCCAGCCCCAGATCGAGCCTCAGCTCCAGCCTGAGCCCCAACCCCGGCTCCAGGCCCAGCACCAGCTCCAGGCCCACCTCCGGGCGCAGGTCCCCCAGCTCCAGCCCCAGCTCCAGCCTGAGCCTCGAGCCCGGCTCCAGGCCCCAGCTCCAGCCCCGATGCTGGCTCCAGGCCTCAGGCCCAGCTCCAGCTCCAATTCCAGAAGTGAGCCCCTGCTCTAGTTCCAGCCCCAGCTCCAAGCCCCAGCTGCAGAAACAGCTCCAGGCTCCAACCCCAGCTCCAGCCCCAGCTCCAGCCTGAACCCCAAGCCCGGCTCCAGGCCCAGCCTGGCTCCAGGCCTCAGCTCCAGCCACAGTTCCAGCCCCAGCTCCAGCCTGAGCCCCGACCCCATCTCCAGGCTCCAGGGTCCAACCCCCGGCTCCAGCCCCAACACTCAGGCGCTGCTCCAGGCCCAGTCCCAGCCTCGGCCCTGGCTCCAGGCCATGCTGGTGACAACACTGCACCCTGCACTTGAACTAAAATTCAATAAAATGTGGTTCTGTAGGCTTTCCTGATCATGGCACTATTTGAACGTGGTTATCTCAGCCTGATCATGGCACTATTTGAATGTGGTTATCTCAGCCTGATCATGGCACTATTTGAATGTGGTTATCTCAGCTGCAGAAAAAGCTTACTGGGAGAAAAATAATTGAAATTTCAGGGATTCTGGTTGTTGGGGGGAAGAAGTTTTCTGCTCAAATAGGGTTGATAAACATCTCAAATAGATTATTCCCTCTAGTGTCATTGAATCATCGAATATCCTGGGCTTAAGGGACCCAAAAAAACCATCAAGCCCAACTCCTGGCCCAGCTCCAGCTCCAGCTCCAGACACCCCAACAATCCCACCCTGTGCCTGAGAGCCTTGTCCAAAAACTCCTGGAGTTCTGGCAGCCTTGGGGCTCTGACAATTCCCTGGGGAGCCTGGGCAGTGCCCCAGAACCCTCTGGGGAAAAACCTTTCCCTGATATCCAGCCTAACCCTCCCCTGACACTACTCCAGCTGTTCCCTCGGGTCCTGTCATTGGTCACCAGAGGGAAGAGCATTCTAAGAACATTCTGCAGCTGAAAGCTTTCCAGGCTTGACTTCCTTAGGAAAATAGAACATATACAGGATTTATCATATAAAGTTGCCAGAATCAGTTAGAAATAGCCTGTGTTTCTAATATTATTTTGTACTCTTTGCATGGATGCATATATCTATTAATTTAGTTTGCCTAGAAATATTTCACCTGCCAGGCACGTGAAGACTGTTTGCATTTTTTTGCCCTTTCAGGGTCATTCCTGGGAGCATGTGTTGGAGTCAGAGTCAGCATCACCACTGTGGTTACTCTGAGGGCAGGGGAAGGAGTTTGTAGGTAGGTGTGACATAACACCTTACTCAGTGTTTAAACAGCAGTGTAATTCCTGCCACATCCATGAAGCAGGAATATTTGCATTGTATGGAAAGGTGGGGAGCAGCTGGCTCTTCCTGGATATGCTTGTTTTTTCAAGGCACCTGCTTGTGCCTTTCTCTTTTAGGGTGTATTTGCCTCCAGACTTGACTTGCCACTTAAGTTCTCTGCATGGGATTCACTGTGAAATCCCACAGCTCCACCAGCCTGATGCCTGGGCTTCCTAAAGCTGAAAAAATGCTGGAGGCACAGACTGGGAGCTCCTCTGGGAACTCAGAGCTCTTGCTGTGGTACAAGTCCTTTGGGTCCTCATGTTGGTTTTTCTCCCCAAGTGTGTTGCAGGGTGTTGAGGGCACAACTGGGACCTGTCACAGGAATCATCTTCATCCCCTGCAGCACCAGATCCCGGGTTCCTGATGGAATGTCCTCCCCAGTCTTACTGATCTTCAGCTAAAATCCTGAATCAGTGGAGTTCCCTAGAAGGAATCACGACAGGGAGTGCATGGGAGGTTGGCCATTCCCATGCAGCCTTATCCCTCCTTTTCTCACAGGAAATTTCTCCCAGGCTCAGTGTTGTTCTGGATAATTTCTGAACTCCTTACATTTCCTGGAGCACAGTTTCAGGCTGCACTGCCAAAGCCATGCCAGTTCCTCACGTCCTGGGATTTCCTCTGTGCGTGTCACACAGACCAAGCCAATGTATAGGGCAGCCCAGAAGAACATGTGTTCCAGCACCAGGGGATTGTCCTGCTGTGAAAGTGGCTGCTGTTCACACCAGGGGATGCTCTGAGAGCCAGCCTGGGCTGCTGGTGTGCCCAGGGTGTCCCTTGAGAGGGCAGTGTGGGAAGCAGTGCTTCTCTCTTTGCCCTTGTGGCTCTTCTCAAGGCACAGTGATGCCAGCACAGCCCCGTGGCYGTGGGCTCAGCTCCTGCCCTGCAGCAAGAAGGGGTGAAGGACGTTCCTTGCCAGCCTTTGGGCAAAAAGTGATTTTTTGTTGGGGTGAGGGAACTGTTTTCTTCAGCACTTCTGTTTTTCCCAATCAGAATTGTCAGCACTTTGCCTTCAGTTTCCTCTCCTTCTCTTTCCCACTTCCCTCTAAATCAGACTCACTTCACACCTCCAAGTTTTCTCTGCCACAGTTTGTTGCCTGTGCCTGCTGGGCCTGCTCTTCCTTCAGAACCGTAAGGACTTCACCAACCACTACAAATCCTCCAAGATCCTCCTTTAAAAGATGTTTTGAAGCCCTTGCCATGGTCCAATGCTCTTTGCTTGCCTTCAGCCCTGCCTGACAAGCCCTTTTGACTGSCAACCAAAGACAAACCACACTTAGGACTTAGTTCTAATTAATTTTTCTTTCACCTGTTAGTTTCTCTTTCACCTGTGTGTGTGGGTGTCMGGCTTTCACTGGTGGAGCAGCCGTTCACCTTCCTCCAGGCATGCAAGAGCAGTGCTRTGGGATTATATCACAGCCGTGGTGTGACCTCTCACAACAGTTCTTGTTAGCAGAACCATTTCAGTTTGCATTAACTCAATCAAAAGAAATGTTTGCCTGTTTAGTCAATGATCAGGATCATTGTGTCCTCGATAGGTCAGGAGGGGGGTGCTTTTTGACATGGAAATAACCCCGTTCACTTGCAGCAGTCAAACTCGGGATGTATTTTCCTTGTTTGCAAAGTTATGAAACACCTCAGAACCAACTCATCGAGGGGAGGGGGTGCGTGACATCAGGGGGATCCATCCCCATGTCTTGGAGGATRAACTCCCTAAAATAAAGAGCAGCATTGCAGGTTCCACACCCACTGGTCCCTGTGGAGGGGGAGGACAGTGCTTGGGACCTCAAGCTCCTTCTGCAGTCCCACAGCTGGGGCAGCCTTGGGTGGTGCTGTCCTAGGAACCCTGGGTGGAGTGGCCAAATAGCCACTCTAAGTCAGGGTGAGCCTCTGCCGGGTCCAAAATGCAACCAAAGGGCTGAATTCTCTGTARCCTGGGCTAAATCTCTCCATCTCCATGAGCCCTCCATCTCCATGCACTGCTCAAGCAAGACTCACATTGGAGGCAGCTGCTCCTATTCCCCTTGTAAAGGATTCTCTTAAGGGTTTGCTTAAGAGTTGCTGTCACCCTCTGGAGCTCTGGAGGTCCTTCTGAAGGTCCCTCTGGAGGTGCCTCTGGAGCTCCTTCCCCATCCCAACACTGCAATTCTATTTCTGATCAACCGGATCAAAGTGTTTCCTCCCAAACTGGTGCAGGAGATTCTAAGACGCCTGTCCAAGGCCTACCATCACCTTTGACAGGGCTGGAAAAAGAAATCAATTCATTTTTACAGTGCYAACAGTGATAACTGTACCTCAGCTGTAAAGTATGACAGCCTGATCTCRCCTCTGAACCAAAGGGGCCTGCAGTTGTAGGGCTGGGTAAGGCAGTGACCTCTCACTCAACCTAGGTCAAGATGAATTTCAGTGATCCTATGGAATAGCTCCAAGTGGGACAATGAGATTCTGAAATCAAATAATCCAGTGGGAGGAGAAGGCTCGGGGAGCCTTTGTGGCTGCTGGTTGTGAGTTTTTGCATTATTCTGTTGCGGGTGAAGACTTTCATCCATCCCTTCCCGTACGTGCCACCGCTCCCTCCRCCTCTTCTATAAATGCCATGACTCKGCCAGTCAGGTATTTACTAAACATGGAGTTATTTGCATACTCAGATTTGTGTTTTCCACAGACGCTATCCTCAGCCTTGACTTCCTTGTCCACCCCTGCGCTCAGCTCTACCTGCTGTTATCATCCCATCAATTAATATTAACACAACTCTCCCCAGGAAAACACCACTCAGGAAATCTTTTGAAATGTCTTTGTGAGAAAAACATTTAGGGACCAAGGGCCAGATTTTAAAGAGCATGAAGGTGTGTGTTTTCCCCCTTCCTGGGAGAGGTTCCCTGCAGGACAGCCCTCAGGACAATCACCCTGTCCCCAAGCCTGAGGTGGGACAGGAGCCCAGTGGCTGACAGTTCCTCTGCACTGCGTGTTTGCCCCAGAGATACAGAGCTCACAGTCCAACTTTTCTGCAAATGAGCTTTTTCTGAATGGCAGTGGTGGATCTGAGATAGGTGTTGGTGGTTGACACTGGGGCCATGTGTCCACCTACGTCTTCGTGTGCGCTTTCCCGGAAAATTCTGCAGCTCTGTGAGTCACCCTGGAGACTGGCAGGCTATGCCAGGGCAGAGTGCAGACTGCGGGAGTCACCCAGGACTTTGGTGGAGTTTGGGGTCAGGGTCATAACCCACAGAATCTCTGCTTTGCTTTGTGACTAATTCCTGCTCTGTGTGCCCACAAACAGCGCTTCTCCCTTCTCCCAG